CCCCCCCCCCCCCCCCCCCCACCCCACGCGCGGGGAACCGCTGCGGAGAAGAGAGTCTGGTAGCCTCATATAAGCGGCATTTAACTCAGTTCTACTTGCCTGTCCAGGTTCTGTTAATTCATGTTCTCTATTCCTTTGTCCATCTGTTGTTTCGTTACCATGGGAGGCCTTTGAACGACCACAACCGCAACTAAAAATGTAAAAAAATGATCATCGTTAAATCATGATGTCATAAGAAACGCAAATTTTTGCTGATTATGTTTCAGTTTCTTCTAGCCTGCTTAACTTGTTTTTAACATTTAGAAGTCAAATGTTTCACCTATTCTCTTTCAGTATATTTACGGACATGAATATTGGTCATAATACTATGGTACCATTCAAATGAAATCTTTTGAGAAGTAATTCCACAATGTACTATAATTTATTTAGTACACACGGTTCTAACTTTTGAGTCTCAGTTATTCAAACCAAACCTTTTCAGCACTACTTTCACATCGTACCGTGTATAATTAATAGTTCTTTTTATTTGGTATGTAGCTTTTTAATCCCGGTGGAAAAAATACTATGGCATGCGGACCATTTATATCAATCATTGCATAATATCAATTGTTTTTCTGAATTTGGCTATTCCTAAGAGTTATTCCTAATTCAGAGTAATCCACTGATACATAAATGAGGCAGCCCATGAAAGTCTGCTTTCTTGGTCGATTTGTTGTTCTTTGGCAGCAAGGCTTTTAAATTTTAGCCGCAGCGAACTGACTCATGTGTAATTCTTGTAAACAACTATAGAATCTACAAAGTATGGTTTTTTATCATTAATTACTCACCGGTCTGGCTTTTTTTTACAAGGAATATAACGACTGCACCTTTTCTTCTTAAAGGTTTCGTATACCCATGGTGAAGATTCGGCCTGTTTTAGGGATAAATGTCCAGTGTGTGAGCAGAAGCATGACGTTTGGATATCGATACAGCTTTAGCTTTAGTCCCTTCATGTAAATAAGGGCAACACTGAACTAAACTAAGAAAATCATTGTAGTCCTGTTTTCTTGTATAAAACAGTTTATTGAAGAGTTAAGTGAGTCAAAAGTTTACTTTATTTGAGCTTCACCCTTTGTAGATGGGATTACTTCGTACGACTTGCGACGCAAGCTCCTTGAAGCGCTGTGATTCTGTGATGCATGGCTAAATGACAACATTTACTGACTAGCCAAGGCAAACTTTTCTGCCTCTGAAACTAAGTTCATTAAAAAAAGAAAGAATTATGAAGAGAAGCAGTAACCAAAAAAGGATTCCTTTTATCGTTACAGGCCCACAGTACTATCAGGGTTTGGAAGAGGTGGTTTGGATCACGAATCACGAGTTAAATTTCCGTACATTCACGAGTCACGTTACCTTTTCACGAATCACGTGATTAAGGGACGAACTGATCAAGTCCATCATCGATTCTTTGTGGTTTTCTGGACTATTATAGGCAATAGTTGGTCTTAATGACCTCGTGATGGGAAGGAAACAAAAAGTATGTTGATCAAACTGGCGATTCTCTGCTTTTTGTTTTACCACTACAAAGTTGACTGGCAATGAATTTTATTGCTATAAAATCGAAGCTTTACAATTTTTTTACTTTTACATGGTTTAACTTCGAACCCTCGTCACGACACTTACATCTCAATTTATCGGTAGAAATCTCGACACACAGACTACAATATTAGAGGATCACGCGTCTCAGTGAATATATAATTCACGAATCACGACTGTATTTCATGAGTTTTCCCGATTCACGCTCTGTTTAACGGGCAGTTCACGGATCACGCGAAACCCCTTCCAGACCATGCACTCTCTACTCAAACAGTGAAATTTAACGTCCGATGGATCAGAGAAGGAAGTTTTGAATGAACGACCTGTCTTATATTGTAAGCAATCATTACGTATAGGAATTATGGTTCGTTAGACTTCCGTTCAACTAATCATGAAGGAAAATTATTTTGTCTTAATGTACTAGGAGTTGCTGAACACTTGCCTGCAGTGCAGGGTGAAGGGAGCAATTAAACTAGAAACCCATGTGATGACAGGAGGTGATGATAAGTATTTCTCAAAATACACCTTCCCAAACCATGTATGTTGCTTTTTTGTCTTTATAAGAGTTATAATTAAATGAGAACAAAGTCTCATAACTATAAATTTTGAATACATTCTGGAATAATATTTTCTTCATAATAACTCGGTATTTGACTTAGTATATACACCGGGAAAATGAACACAGGTAGCCCAAGTTCGACATTGGACGTTTATTTATTAAAACAATTCAGTTTTGAAAGATTCTATACATACAGAATTAATCCTTTCTTCCTAACAGAACACTTCTTTGGATTAAAATGAAGACTTGGAATCTCTTGATAGAAAGATTTAAAATTTACCTAAACTCTTCCGGACTGTGAGAGCTCTCTTCAAACTCTTTTGAATGGCAGACTCTCATACAAGAAAAAGAACCCACAAAATTTGTCCACATATATCACTGATCACTGTACCCCTGTAATTTGGCTACTTGCTTAACTTTTAATAAACCTGACGAGAGTTGTTTGTTTGTGGTTTTACTTGACTTCCCGTCACTCGAGGACACGGTTTCAGGATCCAATCTGATTGCCGGTCATTTAATGTTAACGGATTTTAGACAGAGTTTAACAAAACCGCGTTCTAAGACATTTTCATTTTGTCCAGCGCTTTTATCTATTAGTAACCTCCCGCATTTATCGTGAACAGTTTCATGAAAACATATGGAGTAGACTAGTCTCCCTCGCAGCCGTTTTTAGTATCGTCACGCAACGCTCCTCCCCAGGAGCGTTGCGTGACGATACTAAAAAGGGCTGCGAGGGAGACTAGGAGTAGACCAGAAAGGCACTTATTTTCTTAAACTAACCCACTAAGAAACAAGTTTCGTTCAAAAAACTGATCCTCAGTGTCGAGTTGGCTCGCAGGGCTTTTATTCCCGATAATGAGTTTCACTACGACTAAAGTGACTCTTCTTCGGAAGTTTTAATCGACTTTTGATGTATAAAACAAGTGACAAATAAAAGGAATCATGGTCCATTTAGCAATGGTAACAGCAGCCACAAAAAACTGAAGCATAAAGGACAAAATCCCTTGATTCGAATCGTAGCATAAGCTTGTTCAGTCCGAGGAAAAAAGTAACCCCAGACCAGATANCCGATGGATCAGAGAAGGAAGTTTTGAATGAACGACCTGTCTTATATTGTAAGCAATCATTACGTATAGGAATTATGGTTCGTTAGACTTCCGTTCAACTAATCATGAAGGAAAATTATTTTGTCTTAATGTACTAGGAGTTGCTGAACACTTGCCTGCAGTGCAGGGTGAAGGGAGCAATTAAACTAGAAACCCATGTGATGACAGGAGGTGATGATAAGTATTTCTCAAAATACACCTTCCCAAACCATGTATGTTGCTTTTTTGTCTTTATAAGAGTTATAATTAAATGAGAACAAAGTCTCATAACTATAAATTTTGAATACATTCTGGAATAATATTTTCTTCATAATAACTCGGTATTTGACTTAGTATATACACCGGGAAAATGAACACAGGTAGCCCAAGTTCGACATTGGACGTTTATTTATTAAAACAATTCAGTTTTGAAAGATTCTATACATACAGAATTAATCCTTTCTTCCTAACAGAACACTTCTTTGGATTAAAATGAAGACTTGGAATCTCTTGATAGAAA